CAAATAAAATCTTGAAAAAAAGGTAATTAAAAAAAGGCAAAATTACTAGGCATTTCATGAAAGAAGATACTCAAATGGCCAATAAGCATATGAAAAGATATCATTTCCTTAGTGATAAACTAAACTAATAAAACCAAAATGAGATAACTGTACACACTCAACAGGATTAAAAAGTCTAAATTGAAAACACTGAAAATACTGTGTTGGGACAGTGTGACAAAACTGGATCCCTCATATGTGGCTGGTAGGAATCAGTTATTTGAAAGGACTGAAAAAACTGGCCAGTCTCTGACAAGGTTAATCAAGGAAAAACAAAAGGCACAAATAAACAATACCAGGAATGAAAGAAAGGCTATCACTATAGATCCTGTACATATTACAGAGATAATAAGAGGATATTGTAAACAACTTTGTGTATTTCATCTAAATTTTCAAATTTATTACTATAAATTCCTAGAAGATTGCACCTTACCTAAAATAACTCAATCAAAAATGACTTTCCAAAAAAAGATTTAAAATGATGAAACCAGAGAGGGAGACAAACCATAAGAGACTCTTAATCTCAGGTAACAAATTGAGTGTTGCTGGAGTGGAGGGGGGTGGGAGGGATGGGGTGGCTGGGTGATGGACACTGCCCAATGCTGGGCTCGAACTCATGACCCTGAGATCATGACCTGAGCCGAAACCAAGAGTCAGACGCTTACCAACTGTGAAAGCCAGGCGCCCCAAAACTGACTTTAAAAGAAATAGAAAATCTGAATAGTTCTACAATCATTAAATAAATTGAACCAGTGATCAGAAATCTTCCCATATAGAAAACTTCACGGTCAGGTGGCTTTCAGGTAGTTCTGCCAAATACTTAAGAAGTAATTTGTCTTACAAAACTTCTTTAGAAAAGAGTAAGAAAGAACACCTGTAACTTAACTTTACAGGCTAGCATAACCTTAATAAAAAAAAACCCCAACAAACATGAGAAGGGGCATTCTTACTCATGAACACAGATGAAAAACACCTGAAATATATATACATATACACACCCACCCACACGAATATATATAGAGATATGCAAATGAAGTGTGTGTGTGTGCATATGCACACACAAACACCCCAAATCCAGCAATGTATAATAAGGATAATACATCATGAAAGATTGGAGTTTACCATATGAATGCAAGGGTACTTCAGAAAACTAACTCAATTTAACATATCAAAGATGGAAAAAAATCATATGATCATCTCAACAGATGCAGGAAAAGTATTTGATAAATGCTTTCAAGCATGATAAAAACTCACCAAGTAGTAATATCAAATAACCCTGTTAACTTGATAAAGGGTATTTATAAAAACACCTCCAGCAAATATCATACTTACTGATGAAACACTGAGAGTGTTCCCCTTGAAATCAGAAACATGGGCAGGAAGTCCACTATTATCACTTCCAGTCAACACTGCACAATAAATCCCAATAAGCACAGTAAGACAAGAAAAAGATATAAAATTTGAAAAGAAACAAAATTTTCACTACTATGATTGCATAACAGAAAAAATACAAAAGAAACTAGAAATACATTACTAGAATTAAGCATTTTGGCAAGGTTGCTGAACACAAAAGCAATTGGACTTCTAAATACTAGCAACAGACAATATAAAAAAATAAAAGAGTTACAATGGCATATAAAATGCAAAGTATCTGGGAAAAATCTATAAAATAATACATGTAAAACCACTGTGTGAAAAAGCATAAAATTTAATTGAAAGACAATAAAGACCTAAATAGACATGTCATGTTCAAGGATTAGAAGACTCTATCATAGATGTAAACTTTCCCCAAAGTTATCTTATAGATTCGATGAGATTCCAATCAAATTCATGAAAGTTTTGTGAAACTTAACTAGCTTATTCAAAAATTTATGTCAAAGTACCAGGGCTACAAAGAACCATAACAATCTTTAAGAATAAGGCAAGTGGACTAGCTCTCAGAGATACTGACTTGTACAAAGTTATAGTAATTTAGACCATGATGTAATGGTATGGTGATGGACAGAAAGCCTGATTGAACAGATGAGAGCCCAGAACCAGACCTGTGCATTTGGACATCTGACGGGTGAGAGTGGTTCTGCAGGTAAAATATGGACTATGTTGTAAGGTGATGATGGAAAAAAGTATAATGCAATCCTTACCTCATGTCATACACAAAAAGTTCTTCCAGTTGGGTTAAAGACCTAACTAGGAAAAGCAAAGCTATATATGAGGTATTCAGAAGACAATATAGAACAATAGCTTTATCTTTCCTTAATATGAGATCATAAATCAATAATAAAAAGTAGAATACATAAAAGAAAAAAATCAGTCACATTAGAGTTAATGTTTTTAATGAAAAAGTACCATCAAGAATGGGAAAAGACAAGCCACATCCTGGGAAAAGATACTTAACCAACAAAAATTGGTATCCAGAATATGTGAAGAATTCCTAAGAACTGATAATAATGGGCAAGAGGACTGAAATGCAAACTGTAACTACAATTCATGCCTAAGGTCTATTAGATTAGCAAGAATTAATAAACCTGACAAAATTAAGTGTTGCCAAGGATGCAAAATGAACCTCTCATAGTGCTGGAGATGGTCCACTTTGGAAAGGAAGCTGAACATACACACAATCGATCTCCCAGCATCATTACTCTTAGAGAAATTCTTGTACACTTACAAGAGACATGTAAAGCAGTATTCATGACAATACTGCTTCTGATAGCAAAAGTAAACAACAAAAAACTATGAACACCACAAATATCTATAAAAAAGGAATTACTGAATATTCAGTATATTCATACAGTGGAATACTAGTCAGTAATAAAAACGAATTTTGAGACTAACATGAATGAACATCAAAAATATAATACTGAATGAAGTTAGAAAATATATAATGAAATAATGTGCATATAAATTCAGAAACAGGCAAAACAGTGTTTTGAGTAGAGGTACACACACAGTTGGAAAACTAAGAAAAACAAATGAAAAACTACCACAGAAATCAGAATGGTTACTATTATGGAGAGTGAGGGTGTGTGATCAGGAAGGGGCATGCAAAGGCCTTTCACTGATAATGTTATCTTAATCTTGATAGCTGGTGCACTTAATCTGCATAGCTGTTTGCTTTATTTTTTTTTTTTTTTAAAGATTTTATTTATTTTTTAACAGAGAGAGAGACAGCGAGAGAGGGAACACAAGCAGGGAGAGTGGGAGAGGGAGAAGCAGGCTTCCCACCAAGCAGGGAGCCCGATGTGGGACTCGATGTGGGACTCGATCCCAGGATCCTGGGATCATGACCTGAGCCAAAGGCAGACACTTAACGACTGAGCCACCCAGGCGCCCTGCTTTATTATTCTTTAAAGTACACAATTACATGTTATATATTTTTTTGTATTTATGGTATTTTGCAACAGAAATTAATTTATCACATTTTCATTTAACTTTTGGTAATAAAATACTTTATTGGTACCGTTTAATGTCAAAAACACAAGTATATACTGTTTCCATTGTTTAGCTTCCATCTTTAAATTAAAAGCTCATTAAGGTAAAGTCATTTGATTCTGTCAAAAAACAAGCTGCAACTTACCTTTGCAAATAATTAGGTTCTCTCACTTTAAATACCTAAACTCACTGGTCTTCATAATAAATAATTGTATATAAAACGAGATATTGGCCTGAATAATTCTGCAGAGACTATTTTACATATCTTAAAAAAGCCTAAATGCTACCCAACTTAAAACTTGTAAGAATAATTCATTAAGAGTTACTGTAAAATGAATTCATGTAGCACCAAGAAATTTGGGACTTATATTTCAGATGATATGATCTACTGAGTAAAAAGAGTGATTTTTCTTCTGTCAATTTTCAGGGGTTTATATACAAATAGAAAGGATACAATAAAGGTCCTTTTTAAAAGCCAAAGGTTCAAAATCTGTGCATGCCTTTCACCATATCTCCAATTTCTGGATCTAGCAATGGACGTACAGTAAAAGATCCATGTGTGATAAATAACATAGTACAGTCCTATCTGAATACAACTTCTTATTCATCTTGTCTCATTAACATAATTTATACCTCAATTAAAATTTTATTCTATCTGCAAACAATATTTCTTTAAAATATTTTGCAATTCAGATTTCTATTCAGACCACCTCTCATCCACCTCTTTTCTCAAATCAGTGTAATTTTACGGTATACCTTATTAAATTGTTTTTTCTCCCTTCAGTGAAACTCTGTCAACTCAAAGTATCACAATATTACAAACACAGATGTAGCATATATTAACATATTAGAAAAAAAGGATTAATAAATACATATGGATCCATGCTAAATAAGACAATGCAAAGCAAAAAACACGAAACACCATGCTATGTTGATCTATTCTGAATCACTACAAGGAGGCCCCGACAGCACCCTGGCTCATGTAAACTGATGTTCCCAGATATCACTAGTGCCCTGTACTCCAACATAATTAAATTTTCTATTAAAGACATTTCCATGTTTATTTTCTTAAAACAATCTACAGAAACTTTGACTACTAATCCTGATAACAGTAACAAAACATTATAGTTTTAATCAAGTCACAGATTCTAAGCTAAGTATTTTCTACTACCATCCATTTATTTAAAAACACATTCAGGGAGCTAAGCAACATTCAGTTTAAAGGGGTTTTTATTTCTGATTTCTTTTGATTGTGAACTTCAGATGTGTTAGTCATCCTCTGCTTCAGTGAAAAAGAATTCTTCAAGCAACTGACTAAAGATCTTAATTTAAAAGCAGGATGACTCAGTGGTCAGCAGGTGGAGAACCCATGTCTACACACTGCATCCATAACCCTTTCCTCTCTGCAGGAAACTGGATGCTCCTGACCTACCATGAGCACAACACATTCCATCCTCAACCCAGATGCAACCAGGGCACATTAGAACATGGGTGCAGGGTAGAAACTAAAAACTACTTTTGGGGCAAACACCAGATTTCGATTTGTCAGTGATTCCATAGTACGGTATTCCCACAAAACAGGCTTTGCATTGAAACACTTGATTTTTCTTCTCATATCAAGTTAAACTGCTGAAGTAAAACAATGTCAGAAAGAACACAAAAGATAAGCATGTCTTCTCTGAAAGAGGCACTGCATCTGGAATTGGAATTAAGGCTAAATAAATAGTGCTGGTTTGTGGTTCAGACTAATGTGCCAATGATTACGTTAACCAACAGCTTCGCTATTTGTCCTGTATGCCTGTTTGTGAAGATGCGTCTCTATCTCCTCCCTGAAGACCAGCATTCCCAGGTGCGAGTGAGAGGCCTCGTTCATGGCTTTGGACTGGATGCACATACGGTACTGCTCAGGAGTCAACTCATCAGCACAGCGTTTCTCATGCCAGAGGTGGAAAAGACCAGGAACTGGAGTCCGAATCACAATCAGGTCACCATGTAAGTATTTTCGATAAAGATGAACATCTTCTCCACCCCAACCTTTTACTTCCATGTCAAATCCACCTGCAGGATGAAAATTGATACTATAGGTAAATGCCTGACAGCCAGAGCACAGTCAACCCTGATAGAATTAAGATGTTCTGCTTCAGATGAGATGGCACAGTACAGCCTAAAGACACCTGATATAGAGGACTGACGTCCGGGTTTGGAAGTCCAGTTAGGAGCTGACATCTAGGAGCTCAAGCCTGTTATTCAGAGTATCAAAATGAGATTAAATACTTGAGAATGCTTTGTAAATGTCTAAGTTACAGAGAAAATCTAGAAAATCAAAGGAGAAGGAAATATAATAATTTCACCACTATTAGTATTATAATCATACAGTTATCCTTTGAGATACAAGTTTTTCTGGGTCACAGACAACTTTCCAGAGGAGAAAACAGAAGAAATGGCTAGGCTGAACATCTATATTTGAGAATGGGCACACAGGTGATTTAAAGCCACAGGAATGGATGAAATTACTGAAGGAGTTTAGAAAGAAAATAGGGCCCAGATCTAAATGCTAAGCAATACCAATATCTACAGGTTAAACATGCAGAGAAAGATAAATCAGCAAGACTGAAAAATAGCCCCAGAGGATGGAGAAAATTTTGGAGAATGAGCTATCAGAGTAGTCAAGTGAAAAAAGGGTCTTCAGGAAGAAATGGTCAAGTATATGCTGCTCAATAAAGAACTTAAAAACAAAAAAACAAAACCAAAAACAAATAGACCTGGCAAAATAAATGTTACTTATAACCTTACCTACTAGAACAATTCTGATGGAGTGATGGGGCAAATGGCTTACTAGACTGGGTGAACACATGAAATGGGAGATAAAGTTGAGACTATTTTCAAATTGGCTTAAGCTGAACAACAAACTTTCTTTTTTTAAATTTTTTTTTTAAAGATTTTATTTATTATTTATTTGAGAGAGAGAGAGAATGAGAGATAGAAAGCACGAGAGGGAAGAGGGTCAGAGGGAGAAGCAGACTCCCTGCTGAGCAGGAAGCCCGATGCGGGACTCGATCCCGGGACTCCAGGATCATGACCTGAGCCGAAGGCAGTCGCTTAACCAACTGAGCCACCCAGGCGCCCCTACATTTTTTTAATTAACATATAATGTATTATTTGTTTCAGGGGTACAGGTCTGTGATTCATCAGTCTTACACAATTCACAGCACTCGCCATAGCACATACCCTCCCCAATGTCCATCACCCAGCCACCCCATCCCCCCACCCCCCTCCACCCAGGCAAACCTCAGTTTGTTTCCTGAGATCAAGAGTCTCTTATGGTTTGTCTCCCTCTCTGGTTTCGTCTTGTTTCATTTTTCCCTCCCTTCCCCTATGATCCTCTGTCTTGTTTCTCAAATTCCTCATATCAGTGAGATCATATACTTGTCTTTGACTTATTTTGCTTAGCATAATACCCTCTAGTTCCATCCACGCCATTGCAAATGGCAAGATTTCATTTTTTGATGGCTGCATAATATTCCATTGTGTGTGTGTGTGTGTGTGTGTGTGTGTGTATATATATGTATATATATATATACCACATCTTCTTTATCCATTCATCTAACAACAAACTTTCTAAAGAAGCATAGAGAACACAAACCATTTGGAATTTTTTGAAGAATCAGCAAAGATTCTTAAAAACTGAGAACAAATTAATTCTTCAATTAAGAGCTAGGTTTCCAAATTATGTCTTCTATCTAATAATTATATGCCACTTAGTTTCATACTCACAGGATGACAACAATCCTGAGATCTCTGAAAAGTATTACCTTAAATAGTCACAGCTTTACTAAACTCTATGTCTAATACATATTGGTTTTTTTTCTTTGTAGACATAAGCTCTTCAAATATTAAAGATGGTGTAGATACTTAAAATAAATGGGGGACTTCCAGTTTCTGGTCCAGCATATACAGAGCTTAGAAGTCATATCATCCTAACAAGTAAAAAACCAAACAAACTGAAAAAAAACAGATCCCTCAGAGAAATAAGGTCACAGAGCAAACTGCCACCTCCAAATTGGAGAGAACACAGAATCACAATTATTAGAGCAGAAACCCACCACTAGAAATCTCTAGGGGAACCAGGACTGGGGTAGGAAAAAAAAAAATCTGAACTATAGATGATGAATGGCTAGAGGTTTAGTGGACCAAGTCTGAGAGTTGAAAACTCTGGGGGAGGGGCAGTCATAGGAGGGTCCCTACAATTGTGTGAGTTTTACCTTTAGGAGCTCTAGCAGTTCTCACTGTAAAGACTGGAGCAAAATCCCCTAGTGCTTTCAGCAGGGGCAGTGGGAACGTAATCATTCTGAAATATGCCGGAACACTTTCTTCTTTTTTAAAGATTCAATTTATTCATTTGACAGAGTTAGAGAGAGAGCACAAGCAGGGGGAGTGGCAGGCAGAGAGAGAGGGAGAAACAGGCTCCCCGCCAAGCAGGGAGCCTGATGCGGGACTTGATCCCAGGACGCTGGGATCATGACCTGAGCCAAAGGCAGCTGCTTAACCAACTGAGCCACCCAGGCGCCCGCACTTTATTCTTCTTAAGAAGGCCTGCCCTCAGGAGAAACTATTTTACTAGAGTCAAACCTACCTGGGGGAAGGACATACCCAACTCCAGCCCACTCTAGCCATCCTGTCCCACCTAAGGTTGGGGGCAGTGTCTGAGAAACACCTGAGAAGTTAACGGTCCAGATACATAATCTCACTAAAAGACTGAGACCTAATCACAGGACTATAGAATGCTTCCTCTTTCCCCACACCTCACCACCGATTACTAAAGGCTTATTTATTGCAGTTTCCTTTGCCCAATACATCATGTTTAGCTATGAAGAAAAAAAATGAGGCATACTAAAAGAAAAAAACAGACTGAAGACACAGAGTGAGCATCAGAACCAGACTCAGATATGGCAGGGGTACTGAAATTATCAGCCTGGGAATTTAAAACGACTATAATTGATATGCTAAGGGCTCTAACAGAAAAAGTAGACAAGAACAGATGGGTAACGTAAGCAGAAAGTGACAGATTCTAAGAAAGAATAAAAAAGAAATGCTAAAGATAAACAATGTAACAAAGGAAGAATGTCTTTGTATTGGCTGAGGAAAATCTCTGAGCTTGAGGACATGTCAATAGAAACTTCCAAAACTGAAAAGGCAAAAACAAAGAGGACTTGGGTGGGGGGAGCCAGATCAGAACAGAATTTCTAAGAACTGTATACAAGAGGTGTAACATATGTGTAATGGGAATATCAGAAGGAGAAGAAAGAAAGGAACAGAAGCTCCAAAATGAAAGAGGCCAAATTCCAAACAAGTGCTGCTGAGAGGCCAGGGGCTCCCTTTCTCATCCAGCCCATAGTCATAAGGTAGAGAATACACCCCAAAAGGGATTGGGACCCCTGACACTCCACCCCATGTCCTACTCATAAGGCAGGGGTGTCACTCTGAGAGAAGTGTGCCACTGTCTCCATCCCCAGCTCCAGAGAAGGCTCAGCGAATCGCAGGGGAGGAGCCAGTACAGAAGAACAAACTGCTTCAAAGCTCTTCCCAAAGGAACTGACTTTATTTGAAACAGTCTGCAGAAGTTTAAGCCTAAGGGGGGTCTTGAAAATAATGGAGATTTTGGTGATAAGCAATTAAGAGAAGGCTGATAGCTCCATTAGAGCAATAAGCTAAAATGTAGGCCGGCTAGTTAACTGGAGAGAAACAGGGAAAGAGACAGATAAGAACCTTACTGAGGTCTGAACAAAACTCAAAGATGTGCCTCAAAAACTACCTTGCAATAGGGTTCAATTTAATTAGGTCAGACTGTGGAGCAGTTTATACCCCAGAGCATTGTCAAAAACAAGAGAGCAATGAGTAGAGCCTAACAGGTGGGAGTGTTACCAACAGAGGCACAGAGACAGTAAAAGACAGCCCTACTAGGGGCACCTAGGTGGCTCAGTTGGTTGAGCACCTGACTTTGGCTCAGGTTGTGATCTTGGGGTCCTGGGATCCATCCCTGTGTTGGGCTCCGTGCTCAGCGGGGAGTCTGCTTCTTTCTCTCCCTCTGCCCCTCCCCCTGCTCCTACTCTCTTTCTCTCAAATAATTTTTTTTTTTTTTTAAAGAGAGCCCTACTAAATCCATGTCATCCCAGGGTGACTGTGCACATGCCCTAAGGAGTGACATATTGCTGGGGAATGGGGAGATAAAATTCACTAAAATAGTAAAGCCAAGTTAATAAACAAGCAAGCAAAAAACAGAACAAAAAACAAGCCCGGGAGTCAGGGGGTAATCAATATCCAGACCTGCCACAATATATTACCTAAAATGTCCAGTTTTCAAGAAGGAAATTATGAGCCATGTAAAGAAACAGAAAAGTGTGACCCATATACCAGAAAAAGTAGGCCACAGAAACTGTGAGAGGGCCCAGATGTCAGTTTTTACAAATTTTTCAAAGCCATTATAAATATGTTTAAAGAATTAAAAGAAATCATGCTTAAAGAAGTAACAGAAGGCAAGATGACAATGTCTCATCAAACAGAGAATATTAATGAAGAGACAGAAATTATATATATAAAAAGAACCAAATGGAAATTCTGGAGTTAAAAAGGACAATGCAAATGAAAAATTGATTAGAGCAGCTCAACAGATCTGAACTAACAAAGAATCAGCAAACTTGAAGACAGATCAATTGAAATTATGCAATCCAAAGAATGGAGAGAAAAAAAATAACGAAAAATGAACAGTCTCAGAGAAATGTGGGACACCATTAGCTATATCGACACATACCAAATAGGAGTATGAGGAGAAAATCATGAGAAAGGAGCAGTGAGAAATACACAGATTAGAAGGCAGTGATGTATCCTTGCTGTTTTATTAAGCCAGAAATCAGGGAAAAGGGCATTAATTTCACTTAATAGTCCTTTTATTGCTATTTGCTGTTTCCATGATTCAAATGTTACAATGATAAAGAGACAAGGTGAAGGAATTTCCAAAATAAATAGCTGATTATAAAAATGAATGTAAGATGGGCCTAAAAAGTACACAAAATGTTTTTTTTTTTTTAAAGATTATTTATTTATTTGACAGAGAGAGTGCGAGCACAAGCATGGGGAGTGGCAGGCAGAGGGAGAAGCAGGCTCCCCGTTGAGCAGAGAGCCTGAAGCAGGGCTCCATCCTAGGACCCCGGGATCATGACCTGAGCCGAAGGCAGACGCTTAACCGACTGAGCCTCCCAGGCGTCCCCACAAAATATATTCTATTGTAAAATGTAAAAAATATATACAAATATGTGCACGTGTATATATAGATACGTATGTGTATATATGTGTGTATATATATATATATACACACACATACACACGCATAAATATATAAAATATATTCTTATTTACTGTGGAAATGTAGCCACTGACTGATCAGGAGACATGGAATCAGGTTTCAGCCTTTTTTTTTTTTTTTAAAGATTTTATTTATTTATTTAAAAGAGAGAACAAGCGGGGAGGAGGGGCAGAGGGAGAGGGAGAAGCAGGCTCCCTGCTGAGCAGGGAGCCCAACACGGGCTCGATCCCAGGACCCTGGGATCATGACCTGAGCCAAAGGCAGCTGCTTAACCAACTGAGCCACCCAGGCGCCCCTCAGCCTGCTTTCTTAAACTGTACTCTGACAATGTATTTTTTGCTAGGTAAGGCTGAAGCTAGAGTGGGGCAGGAGGCTTAGACTGGATTCTTCAGGGTCATTCTGGCTTCAAGGAGTGGATGACTAAGCCAGTGACTCCAAGTCCCCCACTCCAACTTCAACCAGAGCTGGAAGGATCAGCTGTCATTTCATTTTCGTAACTTTTAAATGAATAGGATTTCGTTTTAAATACTAGGATTTTCGTAACAGTTCAATAGAAAATTAAAGGGGGTTTCATCTCTGAATAAAAAAATGCAAAAGCCCTTGGACTAGATAATCTAACATTATTTCCAGATGTAACAATCCATGAGCACAACACCAAAGTTATGTAGAGATCTTTCGTAAGAGTATTCAAAACAACTGCAAATAATTGGTAACAAGCCAAACAGATGTTTTTAAAAACTAGTGTTTCGATTTTAAAGAAACAAATAGTCTATTTTACCTTAATTTTTTCTTTATGATCTCATTTTTGCTACTTAGAGACATTAATTATAAACTTACTTGCCTTTCACACCTCCAGATACCTCTTTTTAGCTAATTTCATTCATAATTTAATAGGAAAACACTTGATTCTGAGACCTTTGAGAAAAATGCCATAAGGCACTACAGTAAATATGTACAGCCCTATCCTTAAATGTAAGGTATACTTACCAATGGTCAGGAAATCTGATCGATACTGACAAGTCATTCCAAAGCCAAAATCTCGCCAAAAGCCAGAATCTTTTTTGTGAACCTTTGGTTAAAAAAAAAAAAAAAAAAATTCAATTTAATCCCTCAAGAACTAGAAGTTTTAATCAACAATGAAAAAAATTAAAATACTTTCCAAATAATAATTTTTCCTGTCATTTATTATGACTGACAATGGATCACAAGTATTCACATGATTAAATCCTTACAAAACCAACAAAAATACAGTACTCTCCATCAGCAAAGGGTTCTAGCCACATTCAATTTAACTTAATTTAAGGCCTGTACAAGGTGCAAGCTGAGGTTACTAATAAACAGTATGGTGCCTGAGCTCAAGGAGCTTACATTCCATTCTGGGAGGATAACTGTTGCACAAACTCATACTATAATACACTGTAATTACTTCTACATAGACCTTATAAGGTGCCTACCCTTGGCCCTTACCTGACTGTATACAGTTTTGCTCTGGTAATTACCCAGCCCCATGTAGCCCATGAGCTTCAGAGAAGCTCCTCCCACCTGTAGCTTTAGATTGGACCATGATTACTCTATACCAGTGGCACAGTGTCACCCACTTATTGTAGGAATTGATTCACTAATGGGAATTAGACAAAATTCAGGCCAACATGGTAAAAGGGGAGGGTTGTTGGGAACTCTGGAAAACAAAGCCCCTTCATTCCTCCGAGAGAGCTACTAGAAAAGACACTTGCTTTTTTTTGGGTGGTGTAGGGCAGGAGTCAGCAAACTACAGTGTCCAGGCTAAATCTGGCCTGCCGCCTGTTTTTGAAAATAATTTTATTGGAATATAGCCACACTCATTTGTTTATAACCTGTCCATGTATATTTCATGGTACAGTGGCATAGCTGAGTAGTTGCAATAGGGATTTAACTATATGGCCCACAAAGCCAAAATATTTTCTATGTGGCTCTTTACAGAATAAATCTGCCAACTCCTGGTGTAGGGTGTAGATGTGAAGCTTGGAACTGCTACAGTCTTTTTCTACCACAAGGGAAACAAGCTTTAAAATGAAACTGTCACCACTTAAGTCCAAACAGAGAAAGAAAAAGAAAATCAGGGCTTTGATGATATACAGCCCCAGAATCAAGTAAAAGTTGAAGTCTGATAAACCTTCTTTATTTTATTCATGCATTTAGCAAGGGTTTTAATCCATCAGACATAGTACTGAGAGCCGGGACACAGCAGTGGATAGAGATGACAAAGTCTCTGCCATCACAGAGCCTCTGTTTTGATGAAAAAATAGCAAATAAATAAATATATATCTCAGGTGGTAATACATGCTAGGAAGAAAAATGTAGTAGGACAAGGGGAGAGCATGAGAGAAAGCAAGCATATTTTGGATATAATGGCCACATGGGGTCTCTCTGAGGAGATAATGTTTGAGCAGGGACCCTAATGAAATACTGAAGTGAGCTGTGAAATATCTAAAGGAGATCATTCCAGGCAAAGAGGGTAGCATGTATGATGGCTATGAGGCAGGAAGGGAATGAGTGGGTCAAGAGCAGAAAAAACAAGGGCAAGAGCAGAGGAATGAGGTCCTGCAGACAAGAAAGGGCTATTAATATTTTTTAAAAGACAATTGTTACTACAGAATTTTTGTATGCATATGGTAATGATCTAGAAGCAGCATAATGTTAGGATAGGAGAGCATGATGGATGGCTGGAGGGGAGTCCTTGTTTAGGCACGAGGGATGAGCTCTAATTCAAGAGAAAAGAACAGGCTGGCCTTACAAAAGGATGTGCGCAGTTCCTCCACTGGCACTGGAGAGGCTGATGGGTCTCATGATAGAATAAGGAAGTGAAATGTCTGAATACTTCTCTATTCTAAGTGAAATACAAAGCAAGGTTTGTGGAGTGAGGAGCAGTGAGGGGTGCTGGGTTGGAGGACAGTGCGGCTGGCTTGCAGGATGGACAGCGGGTAGACTACGGTCAGGCGCAGATGTCAGGACAGCTGCGGAACCTGAGGTCTGTGGTCATGTTTTTAAAGCAGTGGCCCTATACTGGGGCTGTGTATTTCTTACCCTCCCTGTTCCACTGCTCAGGGGCCTGGGTAAGAGTTGCCCTTAACCAGGTTGGGGTTCTAAGAGAAAACACTGGATGGGGTGAGGGATTAAGGTGAGTATAGCAAGGAGGCTGTGGATAATGACTATAGAGTTGGAGTTGGGTAAGGAGAGACATGAGGATGTGGACATGAGGGAGATGACAGAAAGGAGGGAGTTACCTCATCCAAAGTGCAAGGTTTTAAGACAGCCTCCTCTGAGAGATAAGCAGGAGTTAGTCAAGTGAAAGATGTGCTGGGGAAAGTTCTAGAAAAAAGAACAGGCTGTGCAAAGACGAGATTAGAGAGAGCACCGTGGGTAAAGGATGGTGGGACCACATTAGAGACAGAAGTAGAGGTGCCCACAAATGTAGGCCAGAGCTCAGCAAACTTCTGCAAAAGAATAGGCAGTAAATATTTTAGGCTCTGCAGAACATAGAGTCTGTCACAACTGTTTAACTTAGCCACTGTAGTGTGAAAGCTGTCATAGACAACAGGTAATCAAATGAGCATGCTGTGTTCCATAAACTTTATTTATGGCTGCTGAAATTTGTATTTCATATAATTTCCATATGCCATGAAAATTATTTTGAAAATCTTTTTCAACCATTCTTCATTCATGGGCCGTAGAAAACTAGGCAGTAGGCTGTTTTGGCCAGCAGGTCATAGACTGATGACCCCTGGTCTAAGAGACCCATGAGGCCACATCAGAGAGAACAGGATACCTGGTCACATATTTTGGGTCTATCCTAATAGCAATGGAAATTCTCTGAAGAGTCAAGGCAGAAGGAGCAATGTGATCAGGTGACATTTTTGAAAGATCACTCTGGCTAGAGTATAGAGGAGATATAAGAGGGGACAAGAAGGGATGCTGACAGGCTGGTTAAGAGGCAACAGTTATAATCTGGGAATGGGAAGCTGGTGGTTTAGACTATCATGATATATTCAGAAAGAAAAAATTGCATGGGGGTAAAAAAAAAAAGATTGAGGACAAAGAATTGATAGAAGTCAGGAAGTGATTGAAGGGCAGGAGTTGGGGTGAGAGGGAAGGATCAACCAAGGGTGACAGCAGGCTGCTGTCCTAATGGGTATGTGATAGTGCCATCCCCCAAGAGTGGGGGCACTGAGGAAAGGGCCCAGAGCTGAATGATGGCAAAGCTGGGTGCTGAGCATAATGAATGTGAGTGATCTGTAAGGCAGCTACATGGAAATTACTGCAGAGAGCAGGAATGAAGGGAATATACAGGTCTGTAGAGGAGGCAAATCTTGAGAAGAGTGGGAAGAGTCTGAAAAAGCTGCAATAGGTAATGGGAGAATTGGCTGAAAAATAGAAGAACAAGGCAGCACTGAGGACTCAGCTTAAGTTGGAGCTAATAAATGAGGTATGCATTTTCTTTTTTTTTTTTTTTTTGCAGGGGAGGGCTTTTTCCCCTTCTAGAATGTAAAGCTCCTGGAGGGCAGGATTTTTTGTTGATTTTGATCACTACTATATCCAGAGCACCAGAACAATGCAAGGCACATGGTAAGCTTTCAATAAACATTTGCCAAATGAAATAAATTTATAGAGGCATAATTTCTGTGGCAAAACCAGGTTCCAATATTCTTATCTTCTTAGTCAAAACATAATCCTGGTGCAAAGTATTAAAACAAAACACTCCTCCTCACCCCCCACCCCCCGTGCGCAAATAAAACACTCACTCTGACATTTCTACCCCCATGACAATTCTGATTTTACAAATATCAAGACTTCCTTTATAACTCAGTTTCTTTAAAAAAAAAAAAATCTCCAAATATTATCACACTTGGGGAAAGGAGTCATTAGTTTTGATTTTTTAAACCATTTCCACTGTCTATAATCCCTAATTGTTAATATTTTATTGCATTTTTATCTGTCCCTCTCTTAAGCATCTGGGGGATGCAGCTATCCACACATAACCTACATATCCAGCCCCCAGCCCCTCACAGGCTGCCAGGTTCACAAATCCATGTGGCAACTTGACACCTTCCCTTGGAGGTCTAATACACAACATATACAACCATGCTCAGGTTCAATCCCTGATCTCTCCTTCTGCCCTTCCTGTCTTTCACTCCTCACATCTAATCCACCAGCAAGTTCTGTCAGACAAATTATATCCTAAACTTTCTCCACAATTACCATCCTTACCCAAGCCACGGTCACCTCCCTGGTGCACTGCAAAAGCCTAACTAGCTATTTGCAGCTGGAGCCACACACCATCCATTCTCCACAAAATCAAAACCCTCCCAGGGTTTTCTATCACATGTAGCCTGAATCTAAACTCCTTATAACTCTACATGACTGGCCCAGCTTTGTGCCCTGTTGCCCACTGTGTTCTAGCCAGCTTAGAAAACCCATTAGCTGTTCCTTCTGCCTGGAACTGCCTTTCCCCAGTCACTAGGTAGCAGGTTCTTTCCTGTTGGTTGGATGGCCTCTCCAACAGTCTCATCTCAGAAAGGCCTTTCTGACTAAACACACCACAGAAACACCTAATCAGTTTTCACAACTCAGCCTGTTTTAATGATTTGCATGGTATTTATTAATTGACTTTATCTTCTGTCTCCTCCTACCAGAATAAAGATTCTTGTGAACAATAACCATGTCTAAACGGTTCTAGGTGCTGGGAATTCCAGCTGTGAATAGTGGCTGGCATAGAATGAACCCTATTGGATGAATTAAGGTAACAGAGGCAGTTTGTGCAGTGGATAAGAGTGGAGACACACTGCCCTGGCTCCTGGCCCCATCCTTGCCAGCTGTGTGTCTGGGCAGGCACTCAACCACCATATGGCTGTGTCCTCATCTATAAAATAGGGGTAATAATAGCATATACCTCAGAGGTGTAAGGAGGATTAAATGAGTTAACATGTATGAAAACCAGAACAGTATCTTACACAAGAATAGGGTAGATAAAAAATTAGCTATTATTAGCATTAAAATATCATCGAAAATACACATATATAATTTCTCCTTTTA